CTCCTTAGAGATAGTGTCCTGACCAGGATTTGAACTGTGGACCCCCAGTGCTGCAAGACAGAAGTGCTTTGCAATCAAACCCCACAAAAACCCCCCCCCCCCCTTGCATGCCAGAGGGAAATTCAGTACAGAGAACAAACTTTTCTTTCAGAATTGTATTGTGCAAGAAGCAATTTTTTTTCAAGTTATGCTATATGATAATAAACATGTAAAAAACATAAAACAGGTGTTATTTCAATTTGGCTGCAAAAGTGGAAATACACTTTAAGATAAGTGGTGTTTGCTAAAAGCTTCTGCTGTAAGCTTCTTGGTACTGCTGCTTGTTAGAGCCTTGTTTTCCTCCAATAAGTTTACTTTAAACAACCAACAGGGTAGGCATGCAAACAAAGACATTATTTATAAGTCTTTTCTCAATTTCCCAAAAAGCAGTTCATAAAAGCATGGTCATATGTCTTTTAATGGACCCTGTAGGCAACCTGCATCGAATTGTTTCTCTATTTGTACTTTGGACATTTGAAATTAAAAGGCTAAAACTCTAAGGTTGTGCATTTAAAGCTATGATGCTGATTAATACATGCAGGGGGGGCAATACAGGGGAAGCATGTATGATTTGTTGGCTCTTCTTAATATATACCACAATACACATTTTAGTGAACAGGACTATAATCACAGCAGCATCTTGAATTTCTCCAACTTTTAGATAGTACAATATTTTAGCCCAGGTCTGACGAAATGGAAAGTGCTCATGTCCCCTCATCCTAGTGTGAATAATTCACATCCTTTCCTCGTTGTTATCCCCTGAGTACGGAAAGATATTTTCGCTACGGCCATTACCGCATTTTTCCCCCCTGTAACTTTAAAGGGCCTGAATTGCTGACAGGCTTTATTTTTCAGGAAGGCACACAACTGCACATTGAAAAGCCATTATCGTACTGCTATTGCACTCCTGTCATTTAGAAGTAACCCCTGACAATAGCTACACAGCATAGGCAGATAACCGCGCGATATGGAGTTGACACTGCACCTATCCATTAGGAGGGGGGGAAGAAAAGGTTCTCTTGTTCTAGGCACGTAGATCGGCATAAACAAAAGAGTTAGGCGTAAGGTAATGCAAAGGTTGAAGCCGGTACACTGCCATGGCTGTGTGTAGATGAGAGGAGTGGGTTGGGAGGTTGAAGGTGTTCACTGACATTACGACAGCTTGAAATCAGCAGTACAAAGCAGACATGACTTGTTCTATCACACACCTGACAATGCTAAAAATATACTTTATTAAAGGAGAACTATGGGGTTAGGGCTTTTCCCCATAGTTCTCCGAAGGGTAACAGGAGGACACAATCTAGCGTCCTCCCGTTACCCAAAGCTCTGTATACTGGTACGCCGCAGCTGAAACGGATCCCGACAATTATGTCTGGATCCACCCAGCTGCGTGAGTGACAGCTGGCTCTGCCTATCTAGAGGCAGAGCCAGCTGTACCCGCCCCCTCCCCCGTCCGTTCTGCCAGTCAGCGCTGGAGGATAGGACAAAGGAGGGGAGAATCCAGTCTCTCCCCTGTCACGGCTCTCTGCAGTGACAGGATCAAGAAGTGAGCGAGCGCCGGTATGTGTTCGCTCACTTCCCGATCTACTGAGCCGACCTGTGACAGTTTAATTGTCACAGGTCGGCTCAGATTATGAGGCTGAGTGAAAAGCACTCACCTCATAATTCTCCTTTAAGGTTACTAAAATGTGGGACACTGGTAGTACAAACCCTCACACATTATTTGGGATAAAAGAAAGGCTGGTCTGAGCCAAAAAAGGAGGATGTTTCTGGCCATCATATAAAAGCCCAATTAGCTTTCAACTTCAGATAATGCTGTACATTCCAAATGCATTAAAACAAAAGGTGAATAAAGTCTTACTGCTGTAGCGAAGGACCCTGTTCTCTGAAGTAAAGCAGTAGTTTCTCTGCAGAGGTCCAACATGCCCCTGCTAAGATCTCCAAGCAGCAGGGAGCATGTAGCATCCCCCCTGACCCCTAGGAGCATGTGGGGGACTTCAGAGGCAGGGTGAGCTGACATTTTACCTTAGGGCTCAGGTCCTTAGCTGGTTGTGGGATGTAAATCTAAAGTTGAGATCCAGTCACTTTCAGGATCTTTGAAGGCTTTATTCCATCAGCAACTCAATGGGAGAGAAGGTAAAGGGCTACAGACATCTAGGACAGTACATAACGCCAGATTCAACGACTACTCTCCAGCTTCAAAGTGCAGAGGGCCTTTAAACTAATTTCAGTAACACACAGAATTCCCTAGGGGAGACAACGGACTTCCTGTGAGGCCTAAGCCTATCCAAGCTTCTCTGGCATCTCCAGCAGAAGATGTTCGTCCCTGATTAATATCCTGACTTGATCTATACCTGACCACAAGCAGTCTGTAGGCCTGGTTAGACAGCACACACTTTACGCACCCTCCCTCCGGCAGGAGGCCCGGGGGAAAAAACCTTTCACGTCATCATAACTGACCACCTGCAGTTTGCAGGCCTGGTCAGACAGCACACACTTTATGCACTCTTCCCCAAGCAGAAGACCCGGAGGGGAAAAGACTCTCACATGATCAGCCCTAAGTATTTATGCCCTTCCCCAGCATGCACCACTGGCCATCAACCTCCTAGCATTATTGGATGCAAGGCACACCCAGCAACAGGCCGATGCAAACAGTAACAGAGTGGTTAGGGAAAACCAAATGAGCACAAACTATCAAATAGCTAGACTGGATACAGTCCAGCAGAACTACATTTAAGGAGTCACCCCCGCTTAGGCTAATGTAGCTACATAAGTATACATAATCATTTATACCTGGGGTTTACCTTTAAAATATGCAGCAATCAATTTTTCTTGGGGGCCATTGCCAAAAGAACTAAAGATGGACAAATTCAGTCAAATGGAGATCTATTTAAGATCTGATCATTAAATTCTGAGATTAAGCACCATAACACTACAGTTAGACAAAAGCTACATGAGAAAGGTAATGCATTGTTACATGCACAGGTCAATACATCTAATTAATTTCAATGTGAAACTCCCCTTTAATTTCACTTGAATGTTCCTGTGGGAGAAATTTATAAGTACAATAAAAGCCGGCTCAGAAAAGCTCTGAAAGTGTTTTCATTTCTCCTCTTATTCACTGTTTTGCTCGTGTTTCAGGCTCATTTCAAAGGAAGGCAATCATGAATGAAGAATTACAGGCCTGGTGTAGGCTTAGTATGCAAATCTCCATCTTTTATCTCAATTAGACACACCTCTTCTCATCTGTCACTCAACTAACAACATTTGCACTCGGCTAAACTTTTTTTTGTCTCCTTTCTCAAAGTTTTTTTTGTTTGTTTGGGCTGCAATTTTATCAAAAGACCTTAACAACTGAGGAATTTAAAGGAGAATGGAAAATCTTTTTAAAAGTCTTTGCACATGTGACAGACATTACTTTAAAATGAAATAATGATTTTCTTTTCACATATTTCATAAAATACCGTGATGGTCGCAGTAAACATGTATTATTCCCAAAACACAGTGTACATTACTAGATGGCTTGCATCCCAGAAAATAAATATTGTATCACAGCTCCTGCTTTTGCTTTGACAGTTCTCTGATCTTTGACCTCAGCATGAATATTGTACCAGTACTTTAAATTCTGCAGTATTCTATAGAAGGGACATGGAAGAGCTGTTATGCAGAACAGGTAAGAGATACAAAAATGCAGCTGAACCAATTGATGCTGATTAAAGCTGAACTCTACACAGATGTAAAAGGATCAAATTAATACAGCTCTGTTTTCATTATTAACACATTAAATTCATTTTTTTTTAAATGCAAGCAGTATAAGTAGCTGAATATGAATTGTTATCAGTCTTTGTATACAGAGCCATATTTACTCCCTCTGCTGCCCCAATGCCAGGTTCCTCAATGCGCCCCCCCTATATGTAGGCTGCATACAAGTGATCTCAGCGACATCGCCGAGGTCACTTGTACAAAACAAGTGGCAGCTTTTCTGCTATACATTTAGCCCTGCTGCCATGTTTTTAAAGACTTCTTCAACAAGAGCTCCCAACTGCACACAAATGCTTCCAGACACTGGAGGCAAATGCCTGAATTTCTGCATGTCCTGTCCAAACAACCCAACAACTATGACAGCCTCTACAAACAATAATGGTAAATTGATTCACTCCATACCTTTTCTGTATTCAAATCTGCTGCATAGACAGAACTTAGAAAGACTGCACAACAGTATAACAGACTAGATGAGACTACCAGTCCCACATTTGACATAAGGCCTTGGTGATGCAACAGAACGTAACGTGAAGAGTCAGCTCAATGCATAAGGAAGGAACTGCTCTCAATGTCTCTGTTTTGGGGAGACTGCGGTTGCCCACAATGTCTCTGTTTTGGGTGGAGTGGAGCTGCCCCAACATCTCTTTTTTAGATGGACTGAGGCTTCTCTCACTTTCTTTGTTTTGGATGGACTGGGGCAGAGCTTGCTCGCCCAAAAGTACCATTAATGCCACAGGGAGACCATCCCTCAACCTTAAAAGTGTCTGTAATCATCTTTAAGGCAAAGCTATTCTCGTCACCAGTCTATATAAATTCTTTGCATACTCCTTTGCAGAATCCAATAAAGGAAGCGGGAGCCAAATATACTGTAGCATCAGCCCTCTAATGGACTCTCCACAGAACACACAACAACAACCAAGTGTTTGACCTGGAAGTCTTAGTTGTGCTCCTGCTTAGCACTATCCTCGCTGTGGGCTAAGCCCCGAGTAGCCCAACCACAGCAGAAGTCTTATTTTTGGTAGATTGCTCTGTAAGAGCATAACATATTTCATTGTGGTTACAATGAAGGAGTAAGAATTTAGTACAAGAAAGTTGTAAGACAATATAGCATTCAGCCCAGGACTCTGTGTTGATGCAGCTTATGAAAAGGTTGAAACAACAATACATTTGTTTACTTTAATTAAATGGATCCAGCATACCTTTTTCTTGTTGGTGGGGCAGATGTAGAAGTTATCAATCACAGTAGTGACTCCAGGCTGAAGGTTTAGCTTTGTATACGTTGTTCCATAATCCGAGGACCTGGCAAATAAATAAACTGAAATGAGCAATAGCATGTTGTTTTAAAAAAAAATATGGCAAGCTGTTTTTAACTATTATTTACTAAAGGGAAGATTCACTACAGTGGGTAACCTATTTTGACCGCATTTGTCTCTTTTGCCCTGAAATGTTGACATCACAAACATAGTGGAATAGGTACATTTTTTTTGCATGAAATAGATATTTTTAAAGCTTTTAGGTCTTTTGGATCTGTATTTTTTATCCACCTCCAATGGCTGCATTTTTGGTTCTCCAGAGACAACTCCTAGAAACTCATAACTTTTGCCAGACAGAAGCCAGTAATATCTTAACACAAACCTGTGACTGGACGTTTAAATATTTACATGTTCTTAAAAAGGAACCTCACCGGGCTAGGACAAAATTAAAAGCCAGCAACTACAAGTACTGGAACTGCTGACATTTAAGAAACACATACTTACCAGCCCATGAAGTCCAGCGTTATCTTGCACACAGCTGATTCTTCGCAGGGCTTTTGTGCCGCCATCTTGGATTCGGGAGTTAGCTGTGACTGATTTCTTGATGATTCCCAAATGGCTCCCTACTGCGCATGCATGAAATCTGCAATGCAGCGAGACTGGTCCTATAGCCTTCTGGGATGTCTGACGTTATCCCAGTAGGATGTGTGGAAGGGGGAAGATGGTAGGCAGATAAAGGGGACATCATCCTCGCCTATATGAGGAATGAGAATGTGAGAGCAAGTACCAGGAAAACATGGTAATTGCTGAAACAAAACATTTTGTAAGAGACTGGGGTAGGTGGGAGAGGATTATGTTGAAAAGCAGTATATTACATTTGAAACAAGCCCTCAGTGACCTCTGTAGTTACAGCCACAGTGAAGTAATTAATTTCCAAAGTTCACAGTAGGAGCACTTAAGTAATGCAAGTTGTTCTCTCAGCAATTCAGCCCTCCCTGCTCCCTCCTCTTAGCAACAGTGACTCAGTAGCCCAACTCCCATTTCCCCACAGTGTCTCAGCTTCCTTGCTTTTTTCTTGCAGCATTGACTCAGCAGCTTAAAGGATAGGTGCACTTTGAGACAATGTGCACTTATCATGTTTGCACCTTTGCCCTGACCTTACCAAACCCACCCTCACTCTTCACAGATGCCAGTGTTAGTTTCCATCTTTGCTGCCCCTGCACATTACAGTCCCATTGACTTCTATGGGGCCATCTGTCTCCGAACTCGGGGCACAGCCCTATAGAAGTCTATTGGGCTGTAATGCGCTGGAGTGGCCAGGACAGTGAAAGTTGCTGGATGTAAACAAACCATGATGAAACCATCTTATAATTGATCTAATCACAGCACAGTGGGAGCTGATTGCTAACTATTGATGAATTGACAACAGGCCTAAAAATTGTGACTCGCCTCCTCGCAATTGGCGGGTGAAAATTGCGTGGGGGCTAGTGGAATTTAATCGAGGGGGTGTGCCGCCGGCAGGACCAGGGATGGGACACTACCGGTGCGGCGATTGCTCGCTTCTGTTCTCTTCTCCTTTTTGGCCGCTGCAGCTACAGAGCGGCCGAGAAGGAGAAGAGATAACAGAAGCGGACGATCGCCGTGGTGGTAGTGTCCCATCCCTGGTCCCGCCGGCGGCGCACCCCTTCGATGACATTTAGTTTGGCTGTCTTCCCTTCCGCTGTCTCCTGCAGCTTCCTCCGCCCACCTCAGCTGCCAGGCTGGGAGGAAGACTGCAGAAACAGTGAGACACCGCACCGGGCCAGAAAGTTATGCAAAACTAAGTTCTATCTCGGTAGATGGAGGATCTCTGTATCACACTCCCCCCACGGCACCTGAATACCATCAGCTTTGTGCACTGTAAGTCCCTTTCCTTTCTTCCTTACACCGCTGACCTCTGCACTGCGTGTCACACTGACCCATGCACTGCACGTCACACTGACCCATGCACTGCGCATTACGCTGACCTCTCCACTGCGTGTCACACTGACCTCTGCACTGCGCATCACGCTGACCTCTGCACTGCGAGTCACATTTTTGACAGGTGCACTGCACGTCACATTGCTGACCGGTGCACTGCATGTAACATTGGTGACCTCTGTACTGCGTGTTACATTGCTGACCACTGTACTGCGCGTTACATTGCTGACCACTGTACTGTGCGTTACATCGCCGACAGATGTACTGGGTAGGGGTTAGGTGGGGCAACTGGTGGCAAGTAACTTTTAAGGCCTGGCTAGTAGCTTAGTACTTGAAATTTTGAGCCCTGGATGAAGACATTTCCCATTGTTCTTTCTTTTTCCAAACAAAGCAACGTGGTGAATTCTATAGGAGGAAACCCATTTTCTTTTGGTATATTTGTCTTTAAGAAAGTTTAGTGAGTTTTTCATCTCACATCTGATATTATGGCTAAAATGTGCAGACTTGCTCTCTTGCCCTGACCACAAAACAGCGCGGTGGGTTTGGAAACCACCACCCATCATAGAGCAATTAGCGGTGTAGACAAGATGAATTGAATGTGGTATGTGAGAAAATGGAGAGTATGTTATCCTATAGCGCTAAACCTCATACAAAAATAATATCGTTCCGTGTGCTCAACCAAAAGAAAACATTATTTTTTAATATTTCAGCTTCCCACAAAACATATTTTATCGATAAAGAAACCCAAGCCAGTCTGTTCAATATAAGGCTCAGTTTTCCCACAGATTGCATAGTACTTTGTATAGAATTTTACCATTTCGTTCTCTCTTAGGATATATATATATACTTCTCCTCAGCATTACTGATCTGTCGTAAAATATGATATATGGCTTAGGAAAAAAACGTTGTTTTCTAATTAAATTTAATACCGCATTTGGATTCCAACCATTCTGTACTGGTGAAAAATATAAGGGAAAGTCAAAAGACAGATGGTCTTATGTATGAAAGTGTCAAAAAGAAGACAAGGCAATAAAGGGTCTTAAAGGAACCGTCCAGTCACAACGTATACTTCCAGACAGCTGAATTACCCTTTAGCTTCTTATATGGATCAGGGATTCTTCAGACAAAAACTGTAATATTGGTACTAGGTGGACTGAACCTTTCAGGCAGCACATTGGTGACAAATTCCTACTGGTTACACAGTTTTAGTGCTTAGGTTGTCAAATCCACCCACCTTCCCTTAAAAGATCTCATGCTACCTGATGCATTTATTTTATTTTATGGAGGAGGCAGCAGGGACTTCAAGGTAGGTGAGGCAGAGCCAGGAACCACACACATAGTATGTACATACTTGACATGTTTGTTACATGCCCACCATTGAAATAAAAATTGAGTATTTTGTTAACTGTAAGTGGTTACTATCGGTATTGGTGGTATTTAGTATAGAAATTCCTTTTTTTATTTGCAATGTCTTATTTTTTTCCCATCTTTTTTTGCTGAACAAGCTGTTGTACAGAAATTACAGTTACAGAGGTTGACACAAACTATAATATCACTGGGGGTGCTTTCAGAAGCCACAGTGTCAGTATTTATACTTTTTCCTGATGTGCCATGTGCATACATACTGTATATGTAACTCAAGTGCAAGGAACAAGGGAATGTACCAACATAGAAGAAGGGGATTGCAGGTTCAAGTAAAATTTCCCTTCTGTTTCGACTACTATATGAAAGTTCAAAGGCATAACATGGTTTAACCCGGACTACTATTGTGATGGTTGTGTATTAAAAAAATATTTTTTTAATACACAACCATCACAATAGTAGTCCGGGTTAAACCGTATGATGGTTTGACATTTTTCCCAATATTGATTACTGCTTCTTCAGAACTGATAGTATATAGAAGTTTTTTTAGAAAACAAAAAATATAGTATATGGTTAGGACCAATGGTCTTTAATCCCATCCAAATATAATTTCTCCCTTCTGTGCGCCACCATTGGAGCAATCAAGAGACCATGCTTTGGGTACCACCTCGGACCCATCAATCCAGAGAGGAACATCCATTAAAACCATATATATCTACCCCATATTGAATGGTACCCATGTTCAAAGAATACCTCTTAGATGGCTAACGGAGGCTTGCTTTCAAGCAATCACACTGGATATTCAGCAAAAATCAATAGCCAAGTGGAGGACCAAACAATCTCTTATGGATGTCCGTTGAGGGTTCACACACACACAGGCAGAGGGCAGCTCCACCAAGGTAGATTCACACCCTATTCCCTAGACCTATCTCACAGAAAATCAAATGCATAGAAGGAGCTGGAGACAGCTGTTGGTCTTGCTTGCAGCTTGCTACCTGCTGTGAAGTCATATAATCTCCAAGTCTAATATAAAATAAATTTTTTTCAGATTAAAATATACTTATTTTAGCAGTTATCATAAATGAAATAAATAAAACATACAAAATAAATTTTAAATTCCCTTTAACTTCTCTGTATGTTTCCGGGTTGTGGCAGGGAACTTACAAGGCTTATACATACCCCTATACACAATATCAGTTCTCAATGTTGGCCACTTTATCACCATACTTTACAATTCTGCTTTCATGAAAAAAGAAAGTCTTTCTACTCTAACAAAGATGTATATTCCCTTCAAGAATGAGGACTATACTGCATTTGTTCTTTAATTTCTTCTGCCACCAAGTTTGTAGAACTCTTTAGTTTCCGCTTTTTGGAAGAAAACAATCAAAGGACAAAATAATGTCTGAGGCTGCAAAGTAATTTCCACAGTGGCTCCACTGGAATTGTCAAACAAAGCTGCAGCTCTTGCCTGTTTTCAACGCTATTCTTTTGTGACTTGCCTGGAATATGTAATTAACACAGTAATGCTTCTTATACCGAGCTACTGCCATAAAAAAAATATAAAAAAAAATCACCCTATCCTGACTTGAATGCAGAATGGCCAATTTCAGCAGTTTGCAGATAAACATGTCAGCATGGTTTTCTCTCACCTCTTTCACATGACATTTTTAACTCTGTGGCAAGATGGCGTTCCTAGGCACATGTTTCAATTACATTTCTTTGGAC